AGAGAGAGAGAGAGAGAGAGAGAGAGAGAGAGAGAGAGATGCATGTATTGTTGGCCTTTTGTGCTGTAGGGTAAAGTTCCATAATGTGTTGAGTTACATCAAATCAAAGTGTACTATACAAGTAACAAGAAATGGGGAGGGCACTATGTATGTATGTAGTTGCTCCTTTGTCCACATTGGCTACACATGTTCTGTGGTGAAGGGACTATTTGACTCTTGTAAATGCATCTTTAGTTGTGCACCGTACATACAAATATGCTCCCTCCCTACATTTTTCTCCTTTCATCACATCTCATATCTTTGTGTCAAAGAGGTTCTTTGGAGTTGTGAGCCCTTGATAACAATGTGCCTTCTTTCTTGTCAGTCTCATTCACTATTTGATAGGCCCTCATTAATATGCCTCTGTTGAGGGTGTTTCATGATACATTTTGGTCATTTCACCTATATCTTCGTACTCGAGAAAATTGCATATTGAAGTAGAAAAAATATTTAATCTCAGTTAATTATCTTAGCATATATAGAGATCTTACCCATCTTCATAACAAACCTAGGAAACAAACCTTAATACAAGATCAGTAGTTGCATTGAATAGAAGCCAATTATTGATGCCCACCTTTTACACTATGCAAATCTCCCAACTTAGTCATCCCTAATACATAGCCTTCTTTCTTCTTTTGGTTTTGAATTAATCTCACTAGTCTTATTACAATTGTAGGCATGGAAAAACACACCATCACGATATCTATATATTCTCGTCTCCCCGAACCTTAGTACCATCCGTAGTATTCGACTGAGATCGATTGCGCAAGTACCACCTCGCCCAGAATATATAGTTAACGAAATTCGCGAAGCTCAAAATCGCCAACATCCAATAGAACAGATCCAGTCTGTCCTTATTCAAGTTATTATCACTCAACCACCCCTTCTGTGACGATGAGCCGGTGACTCTGTTCACGACTGACACGAGTACTGAACTCAGATAGAACCCGAACGAGTATGAGCAGTAGGTGATAGCTGTCAGGAATGCTTGCATGCCCCTCAACGACTGCTTGTAGAAAAACTCGATCAACCCGACCGCAGTAAACATCTCGGAAACCCCGAATATCAAAAATTGAGGCGTGATCCAGAATATTGAAATCGTCTCGTTCGACCGCACGGCCGCCTGACGCCTCTTGTTCTCCATAAGGGCCGCGGATACCATGGAGAAGGTGGCCAGGATGAGGCCGGCACCAATCCGGTGAAGTGGGGGCAAACCGGAGTCATGGCCCGTGATGCGGCGGGCAAAGGGGACAAAGAAGGTGTCGTACAACGGGACGATGAAGATGAGCATGAGGTAAGGGATGGCCTGGAGGGAGGCCGGGGGGATGTGGAAGGACTTGGTGACGCGTGTGTCCATGGAGCTGCCTTGTTGGACTGAGAAGGTCTGGAGTTGAGCCAGTATGGTGTTGAACACGATCGTGCAAGCGAATATGGGCATGATCAAGATGAGTATCTTCACTTGCTCGACTTGGGCCATGGTGCAAAGTGTCCAAGGGCTCTCGACCGCGGTCTTGATACAGGCCTTGTTCAGGATTCTGCAGGAAAAATTAGATATGTATGTGTTTTCAACTCATATGTACCATTAGACGACGTTTAATTATATGAAGATGTTACGGTCCCGTTACAGAACCATTCTTTCGGGGTTTGTAACCGTTAGATCAATTATCCCCACACGATTAGATAATGATCTAACGGTCACAAACCGTGACGGAAACGTTCCGTAATGAGATAGTTACCTAAATCTATGAGTGAGTTGAAGCTCGGAAGTTGTTTCATCGGTATTATATCCATTAAGCATCCGAGGATCGGATGGACAAACTTGATTTCTCTTTGCAATTGCAGCCACAACCACCTAAAACGGGGAAAAATAAAGAATTAACAAATATACTTGCGTTATATTAACAAAAAATTAAAAAATACTTTATTTTCTTATTTATTTGTTTAATAAGTAAGATATCAAATTTTCCGACACTTCTTAATGTTGTAATGATATATTTTGGCACACTGATGAGTTCAGCTTTTGGCAATTGCATCTAACATTGAGCTTATTTAATTAGCATTTATCCACTGGAGGCTTTATTTTTTTTTTATTTTTTTTTTCCTATATCCAGCAAAAACACGACAAATGTAATCAAAGTGGGATCATATGCATTCATAAACACAATCCAACAGTTGACCACAACTTCCATTAATTAATTAATATTGACACCATATGCATAAAAAAATTAATAATATTAAAACGAATCTTTAGCTTAAAAGGTCCAAATAAAATGCATAAAAGTTGCAACTATATATAAATAGTCAAAGAAGGTGGAGGAGATATTTTCATACTTATCAAGAACATAATGACATATAACAAGTAGTCAAAAAAGGTCCAAATTAAATGCATAAAAGATTTATATTACTTTTTTTTAGTGTATTTCACAAGAAGAAAAATCAATAATAATAATAATAATAATAATAATAATAATAATAATAATAATAATAATAATAATAATAATAATAATAATAATAATAATAATAATAATAATAATAATAATAATAAATGCTTACTTGTACAAGAGGAGTCAAGATGCTGCCTCGAGGAGGCTTGTTCCTATAAAGAAGTGTACCACATATTAAGCTAATGAGCCCCATCGCCATAGCGGCGGCCGAGACCCCAAACCCGATGTCCATTCCGGAATGCGTTTGGACATAAACGAGCACGGTCAACGCAATAAGCTCACCCGTGGAGAAGGCGAAATAGGCCGCATTAAAGTATCTTGAGAGCTTCTTGGACTCCTTGGGCTGGTCTTGGTTGAACTGATCGGCCCCGTGGGCTATCATGTTGGGCTTCACACACCCACTCCCCAAGGCCACTAGATAAAGCGCAACGAAAAATATGAAGGCCTTCACACCATCGGCTTCCTTGCATTGGTCCCCGTCCGTCAACATGTTGCATGCCGGTGGCTTCAGCTGGGGGAGGTGGGCTTGAACCGATAGCAAGATGAAACCCTACACACACACACACAAACACCATGAAAAATTAGATTAATGTGTGCAGGGGAAATTCCGATGCTGCCCTTAAGGGTAGTGCAGTCAATTCTTCATGGCACACTTAGGAGTTGACTGCATTGTTCTTAGGGACAACATCGAGTGCAAGCGAAAAATCGTTCAAAATTTGGGTCGTGTAGGATTGAAACTCCAACTCGTGTTTTGGTTTCAAAGTCAACGAGTCAACAAGGTGATGGGTTTGGTCAAAAAGATCATATTTTTTGAAGATTTCTAATAATTTCGTATTATTACCTATCTTTTTAGATTAGTTGAGTGCGGAATTTGTCTTTTTCACAATATTTCCTCATACTACCTATCTTCTAATCTGTCGCGACTAAAAAGCTCATAATTAATGAGAGAGAGAGAGAGCGAGTGTGTAGTATACTATATATACTTTTAAGTATAAAATATTTTTTTTTTGGTACAGGGGCCTTTCGGTTTCCAAATCCCCAGGGGAACCGAGTAATCTGGAATCGAGCCGGGTAGGACCACAAGGGCGGCAAAGCTCTCCCTCAAGAGTTTTAACACTGCTGCATTCCCAGAGCTCGAACACGAGACCACTGGTTAAGCTGAAAGATACTCAAACCATCTCATCCAAGCGCTCTTGGGTATTACATGAAGGGACATATATACTTTTAAATATTAGCTAATGGCATGTCCCCCATGATAGATATGATATTACATTTTGTGATGACCACTTGAAAAGACCGGAGACTTTTGCTAAAATTAAAGGAAGGTTGATTTTTGGAAATATATATGTATATATCTAGTCTACTCATTACAGAAAGAGAGAACATATAAAGTATATCTAAGAATTAATAATTAGAGATATTTATATAAAAAA